CATGCGCAGCTGGCTCGTTTAAACACTGGGAGGCTTTCAAATAATATTCAGAAGTAACAGTGGCTTCAGGATTTTCCTCGTATTATTATAGAAACAGCTGTTTTCACATGACTCATGACATAACTGTGCTGTAAGACAGCATAAAATTTCACTTGTATTTCAGCATGTATATTATTCATTGTCTGTTTGCTTACCTTTTACGATCATGGCAAAGTACACCAAATGTTTTGCACTATTTAAGGAAATAATTCAAACACTTACTTAAACTGTATGAATAAAATATTTTTAATATATTAAGGAACGCAAACTTATATTTGTTTGAATGTAATATTTAAAAAAGCCTAATTATGAGAATCCGGAATTCAAGATTCAAATATTGTTCAGCATCTTAGAGGCGTCCTCTGGATAAGTAGTTTTGTCACGTCCTTTTCTCAAAGCAACTTAGTTATTTATTCGTGCATCTTATTTTATTTCTCTTTTGCGTATCACAATGTAGAATCTAAATTCACACGTACTCAATTACTTATTGTTACTTAATCAGTTGCATATTCAAATGCTTGCTTATAAATAACCATTTAGATAACTTATTCCAATATAAAACTTACTCTGTCTTTTCTTTTGCTGCTCAAGAGGTAAATTTTACTTACTACAGTACATAGTCCGTAATCCGGACTCGTCGGGACTTCAGTGACTCCGGATTAGGGGTTTTTCCGGATTATAGATCATCTATTTAAATCTGGTAAGATGGCATGCAGAAATTATACAGTTAAAAATATGAAACCGTAATTTATGAAATAAAGAGGCATCTATAAGAGTACCAAATTTAACAAAAAAAAAAAAAAAAAAAAAAAAAGCCGTATTATTTGTTTAATTTATTAAACATTTCTTTCAATGTGCGCATGCGTAAAGCATACATTACGTGCATTAGTAATGTATGTGCATTCTTTACGCCCATGCGCAAAGTTTGTGGCTTTGAGGTCCGGAATATAGAACATTCCGGATAATGGACGTCCAGATTACGGACTTTGTACTGTATATGCCTTTTAGACCTGTATTTTAATTTCGTTAGCATTTTGCTTTCAGGCAAAGTCACTCAACTTCGAAAATTTATTTGTCAGGCAGACTTCAAGAGTATGCGAGACAAAAAGCCTGAATATGAATTCCCAACTTTTCCTTTGCTCCTGGCTATTCTGTACAATTCTCAATAGCTACAATTTAAAAAAGTAAAATTTTGTTCTCTTTCTGGAAATTTGCCTCATCAAGGAACTTTTTGCGGTGGTATCCAAACTATCAGGTTACAATTAAATTTTTTATTGTAGAAACCATCGTGCTCAATACATCACTTTTAATTAAGGTAAAATATAACGCTTTTGTATAAATATAAATTTTCTGTAAAATATAACACTTTTGTATAAAAATAAATTTTGTGTAAAATATAGCATCACTTTTTAATCAAGTAGCTAAACCTAAGATTGAAGAACTGAAGGTTTTACTGTATTGCCTGCGCCATTTTATTGTTGCTGAAAAACCATCATTATGTGAGGAAAAATAAACTACATTACGGGCACTTTAATAAACAAAATATTTATTTCTATATTTAACTTTATTTTTTATAGATATTTCAATACCTTATCTACAATATTTTGTTATTACAGTTATCTTTTTTTCAATATTTATTCAACTTTCTCAGATATTTAATGAACATTTAAAAGCACTAATCATTGACAGTTCGAAATGAGTTCGAATCCTGGCTAACGGGCTGTCTGCGTGGATGTTTTCGTGGTTTTCCGCATTCGTAACTTGAGCACGGATTAGTTTCCCTTAGAAATTCCTCCATGAAAGCATTACTTCACATAAGCAGATACTCCCTGTATTCTTTACCATAATCCATGAAATAACGAGCCATAAGAAAATGGAAGTGCAATATTTATAACATTATATTTCGTTCATTTATTATCCTTAACTAATACGTCGGCAGATAGCATCAACATCTTCGTTAATTGTATTATGGAAGGGTACAAGAACGCGCTGTGTACTTTTTAGCAAAATATTTATTTCAAAATTTATAGAAATAATATAGAAAGTAGAAAAGAGTCACATTTTCTCAAATAACTGTAATAAGGGAGCATTAAAGCTCCCGCTTTCCTAAGGTTGTTGAACACTGATTGCTTTCTTTACATGTTTTCTCGAAGAAAGGACTGGTTGCATAGCATTTTAGCTATATTTCTCATATTTATCAAAATAAAAAGTACCCTTTCCACAAAAGAATTAAGTACCATTTTTACTTCCTTGTACGAAGTAAAAAGGAAGTATTGTAATCGCGAAAAGTTTCAGGCAGCATATTTCAACGAAAATATCCATTTTGACCGCTATCGAATGCAATTTAACCGATGTTTTTGCGTGATATCTGTACGTAAGGACAGAATAAAATACACTTTTCCTTCAAAACAAATTATAAAACTGCTTTAAAATAAATTCTGAAGAGAATTTTTCGTGGCGTCTGTACGAACGTATGTACGTACGTATCTCGCATAACTCAAAAACGAGAAGCCTCAGAACGTTGAAATTTTGTATATAGGACTGATATAACATGTAGATGTGCACCTCGTATTTTGGTTGCAATCGGCCGCACCAAACGTATATAAATATATTTATAGATATATCCACTCTGTTACCCGGCTCAGTGATCTCAGTTTCTTTACTCTTATATGTTTCTAAATTGTACATTTTTTTCTTTGAAAATGATTTAATTATATTGTTTTTATCTTCCCGTTAAGGATTTTATGCCTTTAGTAAATCTGTGTGCAATATTTTTAGAATTATCAGCAATTTTAAAGTTGTTTAATTGCCGCTAAGCCTGTTTTAATGGCGGCCATTGATGTTTACTTTGAAACAGGAGACTAGTGGATTTGTTGCCAATCTAGAGAAACTTAGCTTCGCAACAACAAAGATAACGCATTCATTTATTATTGCCAATTAAATCATGCTTAATTCTTTCTGGAATTTTTTCGAGGAAATAAGCGTTTGAGATTTACTTCCTAATTTTTAATATAGATATTTAGAGTTTTTATGTATTTTTGTCTTCTCGCGAAGTGAGAACTGAATTAATTGAATGATAAATACGCAATCGTCTGTAAAAAACAGTTTCTTTTTTGTTTTATTTGCTTAATTTCTTTTAAACATAGTTCTAGCTTTATTATAGTATTTGAATAGAACATGTGGCAACGATTAGATAATTCTTTAAATGATATACATTTTGTGCATTCTGAGTTATAATCCACAGTCCAGTCACATTAATGTGACCACCACGTACTTTCCATGTCAGAGTTAAATAACCAATCACAGAAGGCAGGTGGCAGCACAGTGGCAGTTGAGCGTATATAAATGAGGGCTTCGGAAAAACATTTCAATCGCTGGCGTAATGCAGAAACGAAGCGATTTATCCGACTTCCAAAAGGGCATGATCATTGGGCTTTCGGGCCAAGGGTGGAAGCATTTCCGAAACGGCTGAGTTTGTGAACTGTTCGCGTGCCGCCGTGGTAGAAGTGTATCGTGCATGGCAAAATGGGACTGTCCAAAATCAGCGACGTGGCAAATGGGATGCACCACGGGCCATAGATGACAGAGGCGAACGACGGTTGCGGAGATGCGTTCGGGCAGATAGACGGGCTACCGTTGAGCAACTGACCACCAAAAATAAACCAAGGGGCTACCAAAAGTGTCTCCCAAAGTACTATTCAGCGAACATTGCTGTGTCTGGGCCTCCGAAGCAGACGCCTGGTTCGTGCACCTATGCTGACTGCTGTTCATCGACGGCGAAGGCTAGAATTTGCACGCCAGTACAGCAGCTGGACGTCCACTGAGTAACGACAGTTGGGTTTTTCGGATGAATCGCGTTTTATGCTCCATCGGACAGATGGACGTTGGCGTATAAGGCGTGAAACCTCTGAAAGGAACCACCCTGCAACCATTGCCGGAACGGTCCAAGCTGGAGGCGGGAGCATTATGGTCTGGGGAATGTTTTCCTGGCATTCTCTAGGTTCACTGATCATTGTGGAAGGCACAATGGATCAATACAAGTACGCATCTGTCCTTGCGGACCATGTTCACCCCTACATGCGCATTGTTTTTCCTCAGGATGATGGCATCTTCCAGCAGGACAATGCGAGGTGCCATACAGCTGCCAGTGTACGTGCGTGGTTCGAAGTACACCAGGATGAGTTTACCGTCCTCCCCTGGCCAGCAAACTCACCTGACTTAAACCCAATCGAGCATCTGTGGGACCATCTCGATCGAGTTGTTCGCGCCATGGATCCTCAACCGCGTAATCTAGCGCAGCTGGCCACGGCATTAGAGTCGGCATGGCTCAACATCCCAGAGAACACCTTCAGGGACCTATGTGACTCTCTTCCTGCACGTCTCGCAGCAGTCCGCTCTGCGAAAGGTGGTTATTCTGGCTTTTGACAGATGGTCACATTAATGTGACTGGACTGTGTATGAATGAAATATAATACTGTTAAGTAAACCTAGCGCCAGAGTGTCGCTATGGTAAACAAAGTGAATTTTAAAAGAATGCATTTATTCTATTGTGGTTTATGCGCTGTCGGCGAAGTAAGTTTAATTCAATCTAATAAGTTTAAATAAAATGCAAGAAAAAATGCGTATAATTTAATATTCCGTACAAGGAAGTCATGTGGTGTACACATCAGATTTTTTGTGATAAATAAGTGTATTCACTTACTGACACGTACTATTCCCATTTCTTACAACAAAAGATAAAAAGGAGAAAATCGGAATTCATTTCTAATCTGTGAGAGAATGATATAAAAGATTTTAGCTTTTATTATTTCAACAGAGACAAATAATTTTGTAATAAATATTTTTAAATTTTGTAATAAAAAAATAATGTAATTTAAATACTAATTTTCTTCAATACTTTAACATGTATGATTAGTAGAACGCGTTTTTAAAAATCCATCTCGTTTTTCTTTTCGTTTAAGGTTCTGTCCTTGGGAGAAATGGAAAAAATTGACTTCTCTGAAATGGAACTTCCACTTCCAGATCTTTTGTCCTCATCAGATATTCTTCAGGAACAACACATTAAAGAGGTAAGCATAGTAACAAATGGAAAAGAGGCTCATTTTCTTATTTTTTTACTTTTTTATTCTGAACGACTTCCAGGTACCCAAAACAATTAATATTATTATCCTTTACGTCGGTTTTGGATGTAGGGTGCTGTGCATTTGTCTTTTTGGTAATTATGTGATTTCCTTATTTTAGATATTTAAAAATATATCGTAAGGTGGAGAAACGTTTTTCGTTTTGCAGAGGATGTTTATATGAAAAAAAATCTTAGCTTCTTTATTAATAAAATATTGTTCACACTAAGTGTTATTACACAATGCGTGTAGGAAGAATTTTGAGCCTCTGCCATCAGGCAATACAAATTTTCTGATGAAATAACCTGACTAAAAGTGTAAAGGTTCTGTATATGCTTTCTTATGCTTAACATGCATGTTTACACTTCTCCAAATCCTTCTGCAATATTTTTCAAAGTGTTGTATAGCTAATATACCAATCAATTCGAGTGACATCTACGAGTAGTTTCTACTATGACCAAGACGAATGTTTCTTGTATTCTAGTTGATGTTGGTTTTGCAGCAAAGCCAACAGAAATTCTTTAACGGAGTCTTATGCCCGCAAGGATATGTCCACATCGTTAAAATAATATCAATAGCATCCCAATGTAGAATAACAAGAACAAAAATATTGTCTTTGTCCACAAAATCGCTCTGTTATGAGAAATAACTCTTAGCTATCCGTATCTCAGTAATACTCGGTAAAATTAGTTTTTTGAAAAAAACGAGATAAGTCTAAATGGTAGCCATGGTAGTGATGTTGGAGATGCTTTAGAAACTATGTTAAATTCTCAATTTACTTACATGTTACCCAGATCATTGAAACTGTTTTCACATCTGCATTTTTCAAGAAATGAGAGTTTGAGCAAATAGGCCATATGCGGCCTAACTTAATTTTGTAACTTTATTTTATTACTTTACAATATGATCTCTAGAGTTAATGTAGATTTGTTGGTACGCTTTGAGTGGCTAGCGAGTCTCGCAGCTGCACCACTGGTCCAAGGTTGGATCTCCAGGCTAAGCAAGGTTGGCTCAGCCTTTCATTCCTTGAGTGGGTCGATTAAACGAGCCAAGTTCGCTTGGGGATTAAACACCGGGGGTCTTGCGACAAGCTGAGCACTTGCCCAAGTGATATGCTGATACACCCCAAGCCCAAAGTCTAGAAAGCAGCTTTCGGGGAACTGCAGGACGTGGCCCACTAGGGCTGTTGCGCAATTTAGTTTTTAGATAAGCTTTGAACAATGTACATAGTATTCCATAAAATATTCATAAAATATTCATCGTTATCAATGAAAAAAACTTGTTTGTGTCTAACCAATCTCTCTGTAAATTCGGTTTGTTTTGTCCAGAATAGTAACATAAACAGTTATTAATGGCTTCATAACTCACAGAAACAATTTAAATTTCTTTTTCATGTTTTTAAAGCTGTATACACGGTTGCCTGCTCGAGCGATTGGATACCCTTGGACGCGCATTTTCTCCACATCCACTGATGGATTCCTGTTGAAAACTCTTTATAGGAAGATGATGGATATCGACAGCCCGGTGCTTCTGGCCATCGAAGACACAAAAGGAGCGGTGAGCATGAATCTTCTTGAAAACTTACTCTTTTATTGATTATTTCCCCCTCATATCTCTCAAATACGTGCCTCTGGGAAGGAAGGACAAATATGTTCTAGAATATTGAATTGCAATCACATGTTTGGATATTTAGCAAAAAATTAATGACAGTACTCTCACGTGTCTTTCTGGAACAACGGACAACACAATAAGAGTTATTTGGAGATTTTATGTTCCACTTTGGGCAAACGAGTAGCCCAGTTTCAACTATTTTTGGCTTCCATACGTCCTTCCTTCTACGAAACCTTTAGAAATTTTCTTCTTTCGTAATACTGCCAAATATGATAGTTTGTAATAATTTTTGAAATAGATGCTGCCTTCGATTTTACCTCATTGATTTTTTTTATTGAGTAGCATGTAGACGTGTGGTTAGAGAAGAACTCAAATTTTTTCATCGATTAAAATGAATATTGATGATGCTTTGAAAATGGCCTATGAAATTCGAGGTTAGCTAGAAGATAAATTTATTACAATCCGGAGGCATTTAAATATTGGGTACATTTCTTCTAATATAAAATAAGATGTGGATACTAAATGACCTCTTAATACAGCCCGTTAAATGATACACATATTTTTCTACATTTCAATTAAACTTACTTCCTTGAATGTCCTGTAACAGCTTTAAATAATATTAAAATCTTGTAGTTTAAATAATTTAAATAGATGAACATTAAGGTATTTGTGAATGGCAATATTTGAAACCAGACTCGAGTGCCTCGTGCGACTCTCGCACGAAGAATGTAATTTATTTTTAAATGTTAGAATATGTTTTCTTTTTTTGTTTGTATGTCGCCATTTTTGAGTGTTAAATAAAAGTTATTGCTGTGTTCCATCATTGGAGTTGCTTCATTTCGCCAAAGAAGCATCACAGTCTTAATTATTTTGGAGGCAACGACCAAGATCGAATAATCGTGCGTATTTTTATTTTATTAGTTCATCATTGAACGTAATATTAGTGATACCAGGTTATTACTTCCTGTTGATATTGAATTGCCTTATTTTATTAGTTCATCACTGAACGTAATATTAGTGATATCAGGTTATTACTTCCTGTTAACACTGAACTGCCTTATTTTATTAGTTTATCACTTGAACGTAAACTTAGTGATACCATTTTAATGCCATTTCGACTAGATCTCAAAGGAAAAGAAAAATATCTGTAGAGCAGATCTTGGAACCGATGAAGGAAGAAAATAAAGCATCCAGAGATGTATTTGAAGAAGAAGTTAAATCACCAGAATTAAAAGAGAAAGATGTTCACGAAAATTTAAAAAACGATAAAGAAATTAATATTGAGAATCATTTTTCAATGCAGCGTCATCATCATCTTTCGGCTTTTGATTTAATATCAAAGCCGCTACTAATAGACGAAGAAAACAATTGTCGAAAGCAAATGACAAATGAATATTATCCGAAAGGCACAGATGAACTGAGGAAAGGCTTTGCTGTGAATTATAGCCGAGGAACTGGTCTACCATGGAAGAGATCTAGGCGCCGTCAAGAAAAAAAAAGAAGACTAATTTGAACACTGGTCCATTTTCTTCCTATTTAAATGTGGTGCAAAAATACTTGTTTAAAACTTAAAATTTTCGGCCTGAAAATTTGGAAACTTATGAGAGAAGTTATCTTTTCTCTTTAAGCAATTTAGCAAGCCGAGCTTATAAACTTTCGAATTTTACAGAACTTTTCCCTTCGGAAAAAGTCTCTCCGTTGAGGGAGAGGTTATAACAGCTTTAAATAATATTAAAATCTTGTATTTTAAATAATTGAAATAGATGAACATTAAGGTATTTGTGAATGGCAATATTTGAGACCAGACTCGAGTGCCTCGTGCGACTCTCGCACGAAGAATGTAATTTATTTTTAAATGTTAGAATATGTTTTCTTTTTTTGTTTGTATGTCGCCATTTTTGAGTGTTAAATAAAAGTTATTGCTGTGTTCCATCATTGGAGTTGCTTCATTTCGCCAAAGAAGCATCACAGTCTTTATACATATATTTTTCATTCAATTAATTCCCTTCTCACTTCACGGCAGGGCAAAAATACATAAAAACTCAAAACATTTTCATTAAAAATTGTAAAATAAAAAAGAAAAATATAAATTTTTTTTATCTACAATTAAAATTAGAGTTTCTACGCAAAAACAAGCAATTTGGCCAGCAGCCAGGAAGACAGATTTTTCGGCGGACAAATAGGAAAGTTTACTTTTGATCCCACTCGACAAAAAGACACTGAAGTCGGTTCACAAAACTGACTTATTTCACTATTCTACTAAGTTTCAAATATTTATTTATACAAATGCTAGACATTTGTACACTAAGCCATTAGTCTTGATTTTAATTCCTGATACTTAAGAACAATATAATTAGATGATAATAGTGTAGTGCATTCGTCAATGTGCTACTTATCCATGGACTGTCGAAGATTACAAACAGAAGAGTCCTTAAGTCGAATTTTAAGAAGATGGGCATTCAGCCAATAGTGCCCAGTCAAAAGACGAAATAACACCACGGCTACAGGGCGAGAAAAATTTGGAATAACTGACTTTGAACTAGTGACTTACTCCCAGGCCTTAGCTGCATTTGATAGGTAGGAGGCAAACCTGATGTTAAATTCTAATTTAATTAGGAGTTTTGCTTAGTTAAAAGACATATGGTTTTTAGTGGTTTGTAGAATAATCATTCCTTCCTTTTCCAGAAAATCTTCTTTTCATTTCTCTCGATGCCGCATTGAGCAAGAATCCACCTCAAGACAACTGAGTCAGAGTTTCAAATGTTAACAAACCCATTGAAGTTCTACAATTACTGCACGCATATTAACTGAAGGCATACAGACCTTAACCGGAACATAAGAGCAATAAAATTCAATCACTTTTAAAGCAAAAAATACACAAGTTACCAAATCATAAGAATAAAAATCACCAAGCTGGGTAACACAGTGGATATATATATATATATATATATCATAATTCCGGGAACACAGAAGAGAACCCAGCTTGTAGTCTTCGTGGCTGAGAGTGAAGGCTTACAGATGAAGACAACAAAACATGAACTTGACGAATTTCCAGTCTTTATTTCCACGCATATCAAATCATCTCCATAGATGTTTATCCAATCATAATGAAATCTGAGACATTTCTCTGATTCAGTCATGATGAAATACCATAAATTCCTATGAGCATTGATTCTTAAAATTAAGACGCAGGTATTTTAGACGGGGAAGCAAAGCGAGGAGCTATTAGCACGGTAGAAGCTAGCAGAAGAAGTACGCAGAATTAATGCGTTAGCTTGCCAAAGGTTTTTACACCGGAGTAAGTGCGATTCTAAAGACAAGCGATGATTGGTTAATATTAGTTTTAGTTACCTTTTGCAAGCAGTTTTATGTAATTTGGAATGATCTTGAATTTGGAAGAACATAACTTTAGAGGGGAAAGCACCAAGTTTAGAATGTTAATTTTGAGGTCGCCAATTATTTTTTAAAACACCAACCGTATTTTGTTATACCTTACATATATATGTACACTTTTGGTGCAGCCGATTGCAACCAAAAAGAGAGGTGCACAGCAGGGCTGCCATGTGTTACACCATACCCATATACAAAATTTTGACGTTCTGAGGCTACTGGTTTTTGAGTTAGGCGAGATAAATACATACGTACATACAGACGCCACGAAACAAATCCCTTCTAAATCCGTTTTAAATCCATTTTAGAGTCCGTTTTGAAAAAAAAAAGGAATCCTTTATTCTGTCCATAAGTATAGGTGTCACGCAGAAACTTTGTTTAAATAGGTTCATGAGAGGTCAAAATGGTTATTTTCGTTGAAATATGATTCCCGAAATTTTTTGCGATTACAATATTTCCTCTACTTCGTACAAGGAAGTAAAAAGCTAAACTTTTTTTTTAATGTGATGAATTAGTTCTAAAATGTGTAATCATCTATTCCCTCTGTTTCAGATATTCGGCGCCTTGCTTTCATCTCCCCTGAAACAGAGTGACAGTTTTTACGGAACGGGGGAATCTTTCCTTTACACATTCTATCCAGTATTCCAGGTAAAAAGGCTTCCAGAATGTTTTCTAAATTTGTTAATTTTTAAGAATTTTAGCATTTTACTTCACCGTTGTTTATAAATGAATAATTGCAATATCTGGTGTTCAGTTACGATGAATCAAATTCAGATGACGAGATCAGAAAAGGCATTAATCACCGTTATCCTAAACTAGATTTTTCGCATGAAATAGCTTTATAAGAAAAAAAAAAAAGAATAATGTGTGAAGAAATCAAATAAGACTCAACAAGTAATATATAAAAAAATTAAAGTAAATTCTTACTTAGGTCAACAAAGAAAAATAATTAAAAAAAAAAAAAAAATAAATAAATAAAAATAAAAAAATTTTTAAAATTAAAATTTAAAATTTAAACATTTTTTTAATATGTGAAAAAATTGTATTAATATCAAATGTTACAAGTTTTACACTATGTTAATCAAATGTTACAAGTTGTTACAAGTTATGTTATATCAAATGTTACAAGTTTACTTGAACTTGAGTGGATGAATAAAAAGTATTTTATTAACGATTGAAAATTTGAACAAGATATAGGGTGACTGTGAGCTAATAGTAGGAATTTAAAAAACGTTTATTAACTAGAAAACCACATTGTATTGACCTCTAGTTTTATCCTGACGAAGTGCTCGAAAAATAAAAAAAATGAAGACTAACCAGAGAATCAAATAAGAAAAATCTTTTTATCAAAACTAATAAACTTTATATAATTTCATCAGGATGAATGCCGCAGACAGGATGATATTCAGATAAATATACTGTTTTTGAAGTGAAATATTCCATTTGGCGATATTTGGTGACAAAATTAGCAATGTGTCATGGCGAAGCGAAAACATTCTAGAACTCATTTTTAGCGGTTTTCTACGGAATATTCTTGAAGGTAGGTTAAGGCTCTCTCTCTCTTATATATACGTATATACATACCCTGATTATACGGGGAGAAAGTAGTGACTTGAATTCAGATATTAGTTTGAGAGCGACCGGCCGAGTCGGGAGCTGTACTTTAGTGCTTTGCCATGAAGCTGTCTTCACCGTTATAGTCTGAAAGCTGTGTTACTGATTGTTTCAGCGTATTTGTCGTACTGTTTTGACGAAATAAACAGTATATATCGCTAATAAGCGCACAGGACAATTACAATGACGTTTAAACATGTCATTGTAATTGTCCTGTGCGCTTATTAGCGAATAAATTGTATTTTGATTCTTCATCAAATGCTATCAACAATTACTCTTACTCCAGATTCAAGAACATGTAGAAAGCAACAATGCAGTTATTTACGCAGTAGTTATACAATACAGTTATTACACCGTATGCAAGACTGCCCTTTATTGATAAAAGGAGAAATGCGGCAGCTTGACGTTGACTTCCCGCAAAGAGCTTTCATATTCATCGATCTTTCACATTTTTGTAGCCAGGCTCTACGCGAGTCAGCTTGCCATTTTCTTCCTTTCACATCCACGCCAACGCTGTCGATACTCCTTTAACTTTTAGAGTTCATTTATTAAGCTGCACTTTCTTCGGATTTACTTTCGCAGATTCTTTCGGTTCATAAAATTCAGCAGTAAATTCACCATCTTTTTCAAAAGTTCCCTATCTTTAAAATTCACGCTACTCTTTTTTATTAAAACTAGCTCTCCGCGAGACTTTCAGCTTTTTGGTTGCCGCAAATGTATTTCAGAATTCCGAAGAAGTTCTTAAATTATATGCAATCAATGTTACTTATGTTATTTTTATCGTAGATCATAAAAAAAGCATAAACATATTTCATAAAATATTCCGGTAGGTAATGAAAGAGATACAAGAAAGTATTAAAAAAATATATTATTTTCTGACGAATAAGAATACGTTTCAGATTGTCTCCTAAAAATCATGAAGCCTTTTATTAGAAAACGAGTCAATTCTGAGGATGGATATTGCCTAGATTTAAGGTTGGTGTTTCTTCTCTTGTCTCTGTTAGGTAGCTAATTATTTAAGCCTAATATTGCAGAATCAAATCAGTATTACAAACAAAATCAGTAATAATATAAGCCTGCTCAAAAAGGATTCGAAATATAGAAAAGAATGTTTAAGCGTACGAAATCGTAAGTAACGGGATATATGTTAAGGGCAATTTCCAAAGAATTTCTTCAAATTTAATGTAATAAAAGAGCGGTGGAGAAAAGACAAAGTTTCAAAGTTAGTTGAGAAGTTGTGATTTGTTTCTAAGTTTATTTCTTGTTTACTTTTCTCTTGCTACTTCTTCATTTCTTATTACTGTTACGTTTACTTTTGTTGTGAGGTTCTGGTTTTTCTTTCCGAAAGTTTGTTTTATACGATACCTACGACAAAAGGGTATCAAATGTTGACACTTTGTTTCTCTAGAGAACAAAATGTTCTAGAAATTGTTACACTGTTTTCTATATCTTAAGTGTTACTTATTGAAGAAAGATTCAACGATTATATCTATCTTAAATGAAAAAAAAAATTAGGCGAAATTAAAAAAATGAAAAAAACATTAGGCATTTAGGCGAAAGTAGTTTTAGCCCACGTAGATGATTTTGATTTCGCGTATTGCAGAAGAGGATTTTAAGAAACAGGAATCGGTTGAAAATTTTATGCACTTTATAAATGGCAGGTTTATTGCAGCTAGAAATAATTTCATTTACTGTGCATTTCGGAATTCCGATATATCCAAAAGTTTTATTTTTGTTTTCTAAAAACACAGTTAAAATGCTGTTTAATGTTGCCTTTCCCATGAATACTGAGCCCACCAGCGGCCGCGCGGTAACGCCGCTGAACACTGGTAGTTCGGTCCGAGGTTCGAATCCCGTGAACGGGCTGGCTGCATGGGTGTTTTCGTGGTTTTCCCCATGTGTAACGTATATACGAGCCAGTTTTCCTTAGAAATTCCTCCACGAAGGCATCCCTCCCCTTAGGCAGATAGCCCCAGTGAGCTTTGCCGTAATTAAATACACCAACACCCATGAATACTGAAATGTATTTTAGAGAGGTCATTGTTCAATTTGAAAATATTTTACAGAGATTAATGTTCATAGTGTGAAAGAAAACTTCATGAAATGATTGGTGTGTTAAGCATTATTATTAATCTCCTGAACGATTAAATAATTTTTATTATTGTTTTTTCTTGCAGATTTTCAGTTGGACTGGTGAAAATGATTACTTCGTAAAGGGAAATATAGACAGCGTTTCCATTGGAGCTTCTGAGTAAGTTTTTATTTATTATAAGTTTTTACTTAATTCACTCACGGTGTTTCACTGCGGGCCGAATTTTGTCAGTGATTTTTAGTCTACTTACTGATAGGCTATAGAATTCAAATTTTGTAGACACACTGTTTGTCGATAACAATGCAATGCAGAGGAGCGATATTTTCAAAATTTGATTTGCATAAAAGAAATATTAATTGAGCGATTTTCTACATTGAAAATTACTGCAATCTGCAGCAGGGTAGGAGAGAAAAGCACTTTGATTTTGTCATCTTGGCGCACTTAATGACGAAATGGTGATATTTGTTTCTCATTTTAGCTTCAAGTTTGGTTTGGTTTAGTTGATTATGGTAAAGCATATTAGCGCTATATGCCTAAAGGGAGGGATGCCTTCGTGGAGGACTTTCCAAGGGAACTGATTCGTATTCATATTACACATGGGAATAAGCACGAAACGTCCATTCAGCCAGCTCATTCGTCTGGAACAAACCCAGTGTAACAGATTTAAATAATATTAAAATCTTGTAGTTTAAAAAATTTAAATAGATGAACATTAAGGTATTTGTGAATGGCAATATTTGAAACCAGACTCGAGTGCAACCTGCGACTCGGGCACAAAGAATGTAATTTATTTTTAAATGTTAGAATATGTTTTCTCTTCTTGTTTGTATGTCGCCATTTTTTTTTTTTTTTTTTTTTTTTTTTTTTTTTTTTTTTTGAGTGTTAAATAAAAGGGTACTTTTCCGTTTTGCCGGCGCAAGCGATAAAGTCGCCAATAATGGTACAACCGATGCCAAACGGAATGTTCTCGCTGGTAACCTTTTAAGCCTCATTTTCAAAACAAGTCGCAGCTTTTTCTTATCAGATTGATTGTTTCTTTCAATACTGGCATATCATTACATAGAATTTTGATCAGATAGTTCAGTTTTATGTCTAAGGCAATTTTCGGCAATTACGTCAATTAGGATGCAATCACAGCGTTTACCCGAAGCCGAAAATATAGAAAAGGTAATGTCAAGGGTTAAATTCATCAATTCTAATGAGAATGCATTAGCGAAGTAAAGCACTGCAGTTTTACATAATTTGAGTAAGTTATTCGTACGAAATTGAAATATTTCTTGCATTTAGACTTGTGTTCCAAATTAAGATTTAACATGAAATTAATGTAGATAATTACTGAGAGCATTAGATTTTTGTAGAGTAGTTTACGTGAGATGAGATCGCTTGGGGTCACATGATATGAACCGGCGAATCAGGATGTTAAACCATGAAAGCATAGTAAATTCTTAAATTAATGTCTTTTTACAAATTTGTTGTCTTTATTTATTGGCTTTTTATAAAATTTTAAGCTATATTAAAATGTTTATGCCATCTTTTTTAAAAAGAATTCTTAGAACTAACATATTTTTAAATATTTTTTATGTGTATACTGTATGTTGTCGGCAATAAAGTCTGCTTGGCGAGATTTGCGCCGGCGAAACGGAAAAGTACCAATAAAAGTTATTGCTGTGTTCCATCATTGGAGTTGATTCATATCGCCAAAGAAGTATCACAGTCATAATTATTTTGCAGGCACCGACAGAGATCGAATAATCGTGCGTATTTTTATTTCATTAGTTCATCACTGAACATAATATTAGTGATACCAGATTATTACTTCCTGTTAATAATAAATTGCTTTATTTTATTAGTTCATCACTGAACGCAATATTAGTGATACCAGGTTATTACTTCCTGTTGATTTTGAATTGTCTTTATTATTACTTTAAATTGCCTATTATTTTATTAGTTCATCACTGAATGTAATTTCCTGTTGATATTGAATTGCCTTATTTTATTAGTTCATCACTGAACGTAATATTAGTTATATCAGGTTATTACTTCCTGTTAACACTGAACTGCCTTATTTTATTAGTTTATCACTTGAACGTAAACTTAGTGATACCATTTTAATGCCATTTCTACTAGAGCTCAAAGGAAAAGAAAAATAGCTGAAGAGCAGATCTTGGAACCGATGAAGGAAGAAAATAAAGCATCCAGAGATGTATTTGAAGAAGAAGTTAAAATACCAGAATTAAACGTGGAAGATGTTCAGGAAAATTTGAAAAACGATAAAGAAATTAATATTGAGAATCATTTTGCAATGCAGCGTTATCATCATTTTCGGCTTTTGATTTAATATCAAAGCCGCTACTAATAGACGAAGAAAACAATTGTCGAAAGCAAATGACAAATGAATATTATCCGAAAGGCACAGATGAACTGAGGAAAGGCTTTGCTGTGAATTATAGCCGAGGAACTGGTCCACCATGGAAAAGATCTAGGCGCCGTCAAGAAAAAAAAAAAGAAGACTAATTTGAACACTGGTCCATTTTCTTCCTATTTAAATGTGGTGTAAAAATATTTGTTTAAAACTTAAAATTTTCGGCCTGAAAATTTGGAAACTTATGAGGGAAGTTATCTTTTCTCTTTAAGCAACTGAGCAAGCCGAGCTTATAAACTTTCGAAATTTGCAGAACTTTTCCTTTCGGCAAAAGTTTCTCCGTTGGGGGAGAGGTTGTAATAGATTTAAATAATATTAAAATCTTGTAGTTTAAATAATTTAAATAGATGAACATTAAGGTATTTGTGAATGGCAATATTTGAAACCAGACTCGAGTGCAACGTGCGACTCTCGCACAAAGAATGTAATTTATTTTTAAATGTTAGAATATGTTTTTTCTTCTTGTTTGTATGTCGCCATTTTTTTTTTTTTTGAGTGTTAAATAAAAGTTATTGCTGTGTTCCATCATTGGAGTTACTTCATATCGCCAAAGAAGTATCACAGTCATAATTATTTTGGAGGCACCGACCAAGATCGAATAATCGTGCGTATTTTTATTTCATTAGTTCATTACTGAACATAATATTAATTATACCAGATTATTACTTCCTGTTAATATTAAATTACTTTATTTTATTAGTTCATCACTGAACGTAATATTAGTGATACCAGATTATTACTTCCTGTTGATATTGAATTGTCTTATTTTATTAGTTCATGACTGAACATAATATTAGTGATACCAGGTTATTACTTCCTGTTAACACTGAACTGCCTTATTTTATTAGTTTATCACTTGAACGTAAACTTAGTGATACCATTTTAATGCCATTTCTACTAGAGCTCAAAGGAAAAGAAAAATAGCTGAAGAGCAGATCTTGGAACCAATGAAGGAAGAAAATAAAGCATCCAGAGATGTATTTGAAGAAGAAGTTAAATCACCAGAATTAAAAGAGGAAGATGTTCACGAAAATTTAAAAAACGATAAAGAAATTAATATTGAGAATCATTTTGCAATGCAGCGTTATCATCATCTTTGGGCTTTTGATTTAATATCAAAGCCGCTACTAATAGACGAAGAAAACAATTGTCGAAAGCAAATGACAAATGAATATTATCCGAAAGGCACAGATGAAATGAGGAAAGGCTTTGCTGTGAATTATAGCCGAGGATCTGGTCCACCATGGAAGAGATCTAGGCGCCATCACGAAAAAAAAAAAAAAAAAAAAAAAAAAAAAAAAGACTAATTTGAACACTGTCCATTTTCTTCCTATTTAAACGTGGTGTAAAAATATTTGTTTAATGGTTAAGGGATCCTGACGGTATAATGGTTAAGGGATCCTGACTGCGATACCAAAGGGCCCGGATTCGAATCCCGAAGAAGGCATGGATGTGAAATTGTCTTTTCCTTCATAGGATTGTAGCGGTGTCCATCTATTGCGTGTCTGTACAATAAAATGGCCACCACTTCTCGCCTTAGTAGTGGCCAATGCCGTTATCGCCAAGTGCCCGCCATTGGAAAAAACAAAAAATGCATGGCCACTGGTGGAGTGCAAAAAGGATTTTGATGTGTTAGTTTAGGTTATTCGAATAAGGCTAAACACACCAAGGACACCTGCTTTAAAGCAGATGTCCTTGGTTACAGAGGTCTGGTTGGCCCTTGGTTACAGAGATGTCTGTAAGAGGGGAATTTCCTTGGGAACATGGCTAGCATTCACGCTATGCATGGAGGAAGTCTTGAAATGCGATCATAATGCCATCTCAGCCATTAAACTACTAATATTTACCTGCCTAAAGAACTCTATCACAGATGGGGCGACAAAATTTTGAATACTAGATTAATTAATGTGTATTAAATAAAAGTATTATCCTGATTAAACGGTTTGGATATACGTGTAAATTGTTAATCGCGTTTGTCTGTTAATTATAAAATGGGTTATTTCTCTTTATCGTGTTTTAATTACCTTCTGATTAACTATGAGTTAATAATGGATATCTTTTACAATATTACCTGGAATAATCAGAAACATGGTTTAAGGATTTAAAAAATTCGTAATTAATTAATTTTGTGTGTAGCAATTCGCGTTCATTTAACATATGTAATTAAAAATCAATGATATTAAAAAAACATACTTGTGACAGCTATGATGAATTTATTCCACAAATCATGTATAAGATGAAAGGTTAGAGTCTTTAGTTCCACAGGCAGATACAGTTGTTCGCCTTTGCAATCAATGATATTAAAAAACATACTTGTGACAGGTATGATGAATTTGTTACACAAATTATGTGTAAGATGAAAGGTTAGAGCCTCTAGTTTCTACATGTATACACTTTTGTTCGCCTTTTGCGACGCAACAGACATCCAAACATATATACTTCGCTAATCTTCTATAGTAAAAAAAATTAGTCTTCATTTCTAGAAATATTAATGATTCATCCTTTCATACTGTTACTCTGCCTATATTTATACCTCAATTGCGTTTTCAGATTTGCTAATTCTAGCTTTTTGTTTTCTCCGCTGAGTATATACATATTTAGAACCTTTTATATGTCTTCTAAATTGGCAATAATTTTCTTTTTCAGGGGTCATTTTGGTTTGTGGCTAGACGGCGATCTCTACCGTGGCAGAAGCGTCCGGTGCCAGACTTACAACAACGAACCTCTGGCATCTGATGAAGATTTCGTCGTCAAAACCCTCGAAGCCTGGGGATTCGCCTAGACTAGATCTAGACTGTGTGCCTCTCTAGAATGTAGATCCGTCACCGCCGTAGACGTTTTCCCCAGCTGGTGCTTTCCTTCTCGAGCTCGCCCCCGCCTCCGGAGGACTCTTAATGTGCTCGGAGACCAAATCCCTGAAGCACTGGCACTCCCCTCAAATTCTTCCCATCTACCGCGCGGAACATTCCAAACCGCTCGCCATTAACTACATACTAGTTCTAGTCGGCGTCGCCAGACGTCGTTAGTATTGCAGGATGCTTTTCGAGAGACCTCAAGTCGTCGGTCGAACGCCCCCGCTTCGGTTTTATCAAGAACTAAGGAAGAACATTGTTTCATACTCGACGTCCCTTGTGACCTTCGTTGGAAAAGTCCACATGTTGAAACTAGTTGGCTAAAGTTTAACAGCTGTTTAAGTTTGCGTCTAAGAACTGGAATTTCTTGAAGGTATAGGATGTAAGGATACATATATCAAATTTATTATCAATCTGGCGTCCGCAGAAACTATTATCAAGCAGCAAGAGTGAGTTGGAATGCTTATTTTTTAGAAATAGAGAGCCCTGTGGTGAAATGTTGTAGAGCGGAGAGTTAAAAGCATTAACCATTCGAGGGAGAAACACAATTGAATCGTGAAGGAAAATTTATTTATTTATTCTGGAAATTTCTGGATTTTTATTCGCCATGTTCATGAAATTCAAAGTTTAGTTTTTCTACTAACTGGATGTCGAGACGGGGAGCATTCATCGGCGAGATAAAAGGTATAATCCAAACCTCCAAGTACAACGATGAGCGAATTTCTCCCAAATTGAGCTCCGACTTCCGCCGTCCCATCTGCGTTTCTATGACCATTGCTGCCCACTTTGGAAAAAAAAAAGGTTGGGAATGCAGATCGGCTGGTGTGAGGCGTCTTTCGAGTCCCTTTGTCGACCCTTTTTTTTCTCTAGGGCCGACGCGACAAGAATCGTCTTCCAATCAGAGTTTAGACTCGACGGCGACGCCCCTCATATACACCTGGTGACTCTTCACTCGATGCTCGACCAATCTCAACTGCAGAGAACGACAAGAGGACCATTTTTTATGAGCTATCCTCTAGGTTTATTTCCTTAACGTTAACTACAAGGGGACAGTAAAATGTACCCCTTTTTAACTTTTAAAGGGTTTTTATCGATGTTTTGCGACTTGAAAGTTGCATTCTTCTTCTAGTTAGGTAGATTTTTTATGAAACCGGTTTTTCGAATAATCTTTTTCATAATGAAAGAGAGCAAGATTCCGAGTTTTTAATCTTTCCAGTTTTATTTTATAAATAGGAGGTTTATAGTAACTGAGTTAGTAACAAAACTTTAGGACTCAAATATTTACATTTTATCATTTTTCAAACCAAATAAGTACTTACACCGACAAAACCGTAAAGTTTAATCAAAATATGTTTCATTAACAATTTCTTAGAGGATTTAAATGAACTGACATATTGAACTCATTTAATTCTTTGCAGTTTGACCTAGCCCGTTTGACCAATTCATCAGATCAGCACGAATACAAATTTCTGCGATTTGAATAGCAGGTTCTGACTCCTGTTATTAGGAGTTGAAAAATCCCATCGAGTGAGGGTCACCCTTTGCTACAAATAAAGTCATTTTTACTCCCAACTACTTATTTTTGTACGTACTTCTTCCCGGAATCCTAGTAGGAAGCGACGTTCACCCCAACGACCGGAGTAGATGCGCCATTGATGTTTTAAAAATGCAGAGCTACTTATGTACATGTCTCGAATCGCCTTTCAAACTTTGGATTTGCTTGCTCTGTTAAAGGAATTCTAATTTCAAATGTAGTTCTGAATCTCTGTATAGGACAACATTAAGATAAATCCACCTGGTGAATGTTTCTTCAACTTCAGTTTGTTGTACTAGACTACCTGAATGTTGGTGACCAAACTAGAGCTAGGAAGAAGTTCAATAAAATTTTACCTTTCGTGCATTAATACATTTGAGTTGCTGTAAACAGTGTAGAAAGTAATTTGTAATTCTGAAAGTATACAAAATTCAAAGCTTATTTGTTTTTTGATTCACGAAATAATTAGTATTAAGGTCTTAAAATGATTAAACTTATTAATTTTATTTGTTACTTTCTTAACGGTAAAGCTTTTTTATGGTTAATTTTGCATTTAGATATATGACTGTAATTTGTGATTCTGAAAGTATACAAAATTCAAAGCTTTTTCTTTTTTTTTTTTCATTCACGAAATAATTAGTTTAAGGTCTTAAGATGATTAAACTTATTAATTTTGTTTGGTACTTTCTTAACGGTAAAGCTTTTTTATGGTTAATTCTGCATTTAGATATATGACTGCACTTTAATAATCAAATATTAACTACATTCTTATAGAAATGAAGTAAAAACTTACTTTAATTAATAAAGACATTTCTTAACGTGTTTAAATTGATATCTTAAAAATGGTTCTATAATAATAATGCCTAAGTAGTTTTGGAGCTATAAGAATGCAATTCTAATCTCCATTAATAAAAACTCTCCGCTATCTCTGCTATTATTATTGAAACAAGATTAAAGAAAGAAAAATTTGCGCAATAAACAAAACGCGATTTACGTATCTGATTTTAAATTAAAGCAAATCCTTTGTTTCATGCACTTTCAAATAGTTTGAAGGCGATTCGATGCTGCAAAGTGTTCCTGTACATCGTAGATAGAATTATATTTTGTAGCCTATGGATGTTGTAGTTTGAAGGACCAAAGGGTTGTCGACCGCATGTCTGGTGCTCATTGGAATTAAAGTTTATTTTGTAGTTTATTTTGTATCTGTGTCTTTTTTTTAATTAATCTTCCACAGCACTTCTTTACAGAAATATTTTGCCAAGGTGTTTTAACAATAATAACACACTGACAGACAGCAACCCAATGACTCTATTCCTGCCACTAATGCTACTCAGCCAGTAGGCTAAATAAGTTATTCTTCATGAGCAAGAAGAAGAGTTTTCCCTTTATGAGTAGTTCCTTCTTATAATTGAAATAAAATTTTTAGAACCGTAGTCAAGATAGATTATCCACAGATTCGTGAAGGAAAAGGACATTTTGACAGTGGCAAAATGACATGACATAATTTTTGAAGTTCTCCTGTAAAGCAATGAATATTATGCTTACTATCATATCTCGGAAATTAATTTTTAAGAAATGAACCATTTTCTGCAATTTCTAAAGATAAAGTTTACCTTTTAAGATAAAAATTACTAAAGTTTTATTTTTGGATAACATCCGATAGTAAAAATTAAATAATAAATAATTCGATAAAAATAGATTCTTGGAAGAAAATGACATTTTGACTGTGACAAAATGACAGGACATAATTTTTGAAGTTCTCCTGCATAGCAATGAATATTATGCTTACAATCATGCCTCGGAAATGAAATTATAAGAAATGAACCATTTTCTGCAATTTCTAAAGATAAAGCTTACCTTTTAAGATAAAAATTACTAAAATTTTATTTTTGGAATAATAAAAATAATTTTTAGGTTAAATCGAGTTGTAAATACCCAGTATAAAATTACACATAAAGCCTTGTGTTATGGCGAATTTTCCATTTTGTAAACAAGTTCGGAAATGCAAATTTTTGTCGGTTTCATAACAACACAGTTTACGTCACACAGCTGGGCGTTAGTGTGTCAGCAACAGAATATAACATCTCTCTAAAACTTTTTACACTAGTCAAGGGGATTCTAATAGTATAAATGAAAATCAAATTAGTTAACAGCTTACAATTTTAATTAATAGGAGCACTAAGAACTAATGTGTTAACTTTGTAGAGACATTAGGTATTTTTTTGAAAGCGGGAAAGATGAAAAATGAGCAATGTTCTCGCCGCGACTCGAACCACGGGTCTCTCGAACACGCGTCGAGCGTGCTGACCACTACACCCCGAAGGCATGCTCAGAAAGCGGGAGAAATACCTTATATAATCCCCCTTTTAAAAGACGACTGGGGATTAGTGATCCTGCAGCGTGTTCTGCGGTGAGCGATACGCTTTGGAAGAAGACGACGCACATTGCGATTTTTCGCTTTCTTAAGATTTTAATCAACGTTTATCATTTTGTTTACAGTAGACACCGAGCATTTTAATGATTTTGCAACTGTCCTTTGACTAAGGGGATTTTCTTTTAACATTAAACAACGTACCTTTGCAATAGTCGAAGATGTCCGTTTTTTCCTTGGATAGTTGTTTGGAATTTTTGTCCCACTTGAGGCTCCAATTTGACTTTTTTTTTTCCTTTCTTGTTATGATATTACCTATCGACGCTTTAGATATCACAAAACCATGACTCTCACATCGTTTTTGGATAACGGAGTAAGCATATTTCTCTTCGGAAAGAGCGTCAATGTAGCCTTCGAACCACTGCTTTGTTAAATTCGCCATTTTGAATAAAAACAAAACTTTCAAGCCACAGACGATAATTTTGACTTTTAAAAACATAGTACAATTGCAATTACTTCTTTTGCAGGAAATAATTTTTATTATCGCTTACCAAAATCGTCTAAAAAATGTGCGAACAGCCTCTGTATTAGGGCTAAAGATCTTTTCGTTTAATAAATCAGTAGAAGTTTCAGAGAATAATTAATAAATTTAATTTATTCTCAAAATTCAGAAAATTTGTACAGCTGTGTATTCTATTTTCTAATATTAAAACTTATAAATGGAACTCTTGTATTGACATTGCTTTATGTTTAATGAAATGCGCAGACTGAATTGCCTTGGAAACCCACACATAAACCATCGAAAATGCTGCCCATTTCGGTGCTTCTATTTACTTCTAGGTTTTACTGCAGTTTTCATTAGAATAAATCCCATTAAGCAGAATCTAGGACAATTTTGTCATCACATACTTTCTAAAGTCCAAAAATTAAACTTAGGATGGCGTGACGCTTGCTTAGAATTTTTTTCAGCGAGACCTAATGTAACAAATTGATTAGAATTGCATCAGGAGATTAAATAAGATTTTTTGAAAATGAAATATATATCGTTAAGAGATTCGTGATCCTTTTTTGTTAAGAACTTTACTGCTGAGCCATTATTTATGGCTCAGCAACCAATTGTTTTATTTTTCAGACTGTTGTATTTATATTTATTTTGTCTTAGAGCTAGTTGTATAGTTGATCTGATTTATGGTTGCTCCAGAAATAGCTGTATTTGCATCTAAATAAGTTAAGCGAAACCTCATTTTTACTTTCTTGTACGAAGTAAAAAGGAAGTACTGTAATCGCGAAAAGTTTCAGGCAGCATATTTCAACGAAAATATCCATTTTGACCGCTATCGAATGCAATTTAACGATGTTTTTGCGTGATATCTGTACTTAAGGACAGAATAAAAGACTCTTTTCCTCCAAAAAAATTATAAAACTGATTTAAAATGAATTCTGAAGACAATTTTTCGTGGTTCTATACGAACGTATGTACGCACGTATCTCGCATAACTCAAAAACGAGTAGCCTCAGAACGTTGAAATTTTGTATATAGGACTGCTATAACATGTAGATGTGCACCTCGTATTTTGGTTGCAATCGGCAGCACCAAACGTATATAAATATATTTATATATATACCCAGTCTCTTACCCGGCTCAGTGATCTCAGTTTCTTTACTCTTATATGTTTGTAAATTGTATAATTTTTGCTTTAAAAATGATTGAATTATGTTGTTTTTATCTTCCGATTAAGGTTTTATGCCTTTCATAATTCTGGAAACAATATTTGTACAATTGTTAACAATTTAAAGCTGTTCAAGTGCGGTTAAGTTTTAAATAACATGGCGGACATATTTGTTTACATTTGAAACAGCACAATTGTAGATTTGTTGCCAATCTAGAGAGACTAAGCTTCGCAACACAAAAATAACGCCTTCATTTATTATTGCGAATTAAATCAGGCTTAATCCTTTCTGGAATTTTTTCGAGGAAATAAGTGTTTAGAATTTACTTTGTAAGTTTTAATGCAGATAATTTGAGTTTTTGTGTATTTTTACCTTGTCGCGAAGTGAGAACTGAATTAATTGAATGAGAAATACTCAATCGTCTGTCAAAAACTGTTTCTTTTTTTGTTTTATTTGCTTAATTTTTATACATCGTTCTAGATTTATTATAGTATTTGAATAGGACATGTGGCAACAATTAGATAATTCTTTAAATGATATAAATTTTGTGCAGTCTGAGTTATAATATAATATGTATTTACTTGGAAATATCTTTGCCTAGTGCACTTTAATGCGATCTACTGGCGAAAACTCTTCAGTAGTTAATGACCAGGAAATTGTAAGTCATAAATCAAATTATAATATGAACGAAATATAATATTGTTAGTTGAACCTAGCGCCAGAGTGTCGCTATGGTAAACAAATAGAGTGAATTTTAAAGAATGCGGTTATTCTATTGTGGTTTATGCGTTGTCGGCGAAGTAGATTTAATTCAATCCAATAAGTTTAAATGAACTGCAAGAAGAATTGCGTATAATTTAATATTCCGTACAAGGAAGTCATGTGGTGTATGCATCAGATTCTTTTCCTTTAGGCAAGTAGCTCTTGTATTCTTTGTTGTACTGAAGTAAACAAAGAAACAAATACACTAACATTAATAAAATCTCTTGTAGACACCATTTGACTTCCTACTAAATTATGCACGCTTTTTCTGAGTTTTATTTAAACTTATTCCTGGGAATTAGTCTAATCAACCGATTCCTCAGGGCAAATTTAAAATGACATCAAAAACTGCAAATTTTGAAATTAAATATCCCGGTCAAGTTTTGTTCTACTGAAGTCAAACTTCTTATAATTTTATTTTTTCCTAACAAGTATAAAATGTTCCAGACTATAAGTATAGGAATGGGAAGAACGCATCAAAAGCTAGATTTTGATATTTTTCGAAAAGTATTTTAAAATTAAAATTGCCAAAATATAAATATTTTAGTTGTTTAAATTACTTCTGTAATTGGAAGTATACGTTTATGATCAAGGATTGCAAAAATGAAGACCAGGTAATAGATACGTGGGTGTACATATGTATAAATATATATATACTTTTAGTACTGATGATTGCAACAAAAAAGGGAGGTGTACATATAAATGTTATAGCAGTAGTTCCATATACAAAAATCTCAACGTTCTACGGCCAGTCGTTTTTGAGCTATGCGAGATAAATGCGTACGTACAGACGTCACAAAAATCCCTTATAAATCCGTTTTACAATCCATTTTCGAAAAGCGAATCCCTTTTTCTGTCCATACGTACAGACGTCATGCAGAAAAATCATCCAAATGGATTCGGGAACGGTCAAAATACATATTTTCTTTGAAATATGATAACCGAAATTTTTTGGTGATTACCAATACTGCCTTTACTTCCTGCACAAGAAAGTAAAAAGAGAATGAAACATCAGGTTAAGTTAAATACATATTTTCTTTGAAATATGATAACCGAAATTTTTTGGTGATTACCAATACTGCCTTTACTTCCTGCACAAGAAAGTAAAAAGAGAATGAAACATCAGGTTAAGTTAACCATTGGTACTAGCTGTCGTTATCGTTTATAAAAAAAGGTATTTTAATTTCTCTGTATCTATACAGCTGCAAACAAAAGTTATTGTTACAGTTATGATTTAAAACAGCTATCATTGTATAATATAAAATATATTCATATTCAATGGATCCCAACTAAGAATTTCACTTACGGTTTCAGATGATTTTGGTTATCGCGAGAGCAGCGGTTCTCAACCTTTTGACTAACGCGTAGCTATTAAACAAAACCTGAAAACC